GGTTTTATTTTTCTTATGTTAAATCCGATTAAAACCGGTTTTAACATAAGAAAAATAAAACCGGTTCCAAACACTAGGTGATGCAGGTCCGTTTTTCTTTCGGGCCGATCCGAACCGATTTCCGATTGGTAATTCGAACCTAGATTATAAAGCTGGCCAGAATTATGAAAATTGCACTGCGCAGCCTCAAAAAATGCCTACGCAGTGTCCCATCTCTAGACAAGACCGAAGCCCCCAAATTGGTAGGCTAGATCATCTTTTAAGTTGCGATACCAAGTCTTTTTTTTTCTGTCTTTATTTTGAGGGAAGTATCGTCGCTTATATACTTATTTTTACATAGTACCAGATAATAGAAATGTTACTGATACTAACTATATTATCTATTCCTATTTTACTTATTATTGTCGCTATCTAATGAATACTATATATTTTGATAATGCTAGAAATTATTTTTATCATTGCGACTTCGAAAATCTCATGATTTTCGTGATTTTGGTGATTCTGAGGATTTTTAACCTTAGGGCCGCAGTAACTATCAAGGTGCATTTTTCCCTTTAATAACGTGCCCAAAAACGATTATAAATGAAATTGATCATATATATGTCGATAAAAAAAAAGTAGAAAAGAGAATTAATATATACAATTAATAATAAACCTATCATATTGCATCAAAATCTCTCATATTATCTAATTTTTGATGATAAATTAGCGCTTTATCTTCGTCCTTTTCAACACCGATCCCTTATTTATAACATGTACTAAGCGCAAATATTCCGTAAGAATCTTCCAAATCTGCGGATTTTTGATAATAAAGCAAAGCCTTATGCACATCTTTTTCAACTCCAATTCCATCTTGATAGCAATGACCAATCTGATATATTCCATAAGAATCTCCCATCTCCGCAGATTTTTGATAATAAATAAATGCTTTACGTTCATCTTTTTCAACTCCAATTCCATTTTGATAACAATTACCAACACTGCATGTTCCACTTGCATGCCCTACTTCTGCTGATTTTTGATAATAAATAAATGCCATATACTCATCCTTTTCCATTCCAATTCCATCTTCATAACAGGTACCAACTGAAAATAATCCATCAGGATCTTCCATTTCAGCAGATTGTTGATAATATATAAATGCTTTGCATTCATCCTTTTCAATACCAATCCCATCTTCATAACAAGTGCCAAGTGCATATAATCCAACAGGATCTTCCAAATTAGCAGATTTTTGGTAATAAATAAATGCTTTATGTTCATCCTTTTCAACTCCAATTCCATCTTCATAACAAGCACCAACGGTAGTTAATCCATGGGAATATCCTAAATCAACGGATTTTTGATAATAAGTAAACGCCTTATTTTCATCCTTTTCAACTCCAATTCCATTCTGATAATAATTTCCAACAATATATGCTCCTTCAACGTGTCCTAACTCTGCAGATTTTTGATAATGAATGAATGCCATATTTTCATCCTTCTCAACACCAATTCCTTTTTGATAACAAACACCAAGATTAAATATTCCAACAACATTATCCAACTCAGCAGACTTTTGATAATAAATGAATGCTTCACGTTTGTCATTCTCAACGCCGATTCCTCTCTGATAACAATTACCAACTTGGCACATTCCAATAGAATTACCCATATTGGCAGATTTTTGATAATGAGAAAATGCAATTTGTTCATTCTTTTCGACTCCAGTTCCACTTTCATAACAAACACCAAGTGCTAATATTCCATCAGAATTTCCAACATCAGCAGATTTTTATAATGAACAAATGCATATATTCATCTTTTTTAATTCTATTTCCATGTTGATAACAATAACCAGTGCATTATTCGCTTCAATATTTCCCATTTCAGCGGATTTTTTATAATAAATGAAAGCCTTATATATATCCTTTTCAACTCCGACTCCATTTTGGTAACAATTACCGACTCGAAACATTCCTTCAGAATTTCCCAACTCAACAGATTTCTGGTAATGGGCGAACATCTTATGTTTATCCATTTCAACTCCAATTCCATATTCATAACAACAACCAACATTAAGTGCTGCTACTGCACACCTCATATTGGCAGATTTTTGAAAATAATTGAATGCCTTATTGTTATCCTTTTCGACGACATCACCTTTATAATAGAATGATCCAAGTTCAAATATTTCTTCTGGATTTTCCTTATTATTGGACTTTTTGTCATCAATGGGTTCCTTGCTTTCATCAATATCCTTTCATCTATGTCGGCCTGAACTATTAAACTATCACTGTTATTTTTCTTCTCTTGATCCTTTTCTAATAATTGTATCAAAAAAGTTAAAACAGTTGTATTCAATTAAAATAAATATTATTAGCCACTGCATACAGGGATTCATATCATTTATCGATATTTTTTCCTCGACAAACACTTCTTGAAATCATTTCACTGACAATTATTTTTCCACAAATGATCGTCAGGGAAATGATTGTCAGGTGTCTGGGAAATGAAGGTGTCGAGAAATTTATCAAGAAAATGAAAGTGTCGAGGTAATGATTGTCGGGGAAAAAATTATATAGACTTCTAAATACCCAAGTACTAAGGGCATCAATTAGCAGTTTACAGTAATTATTGAATAGTATGAGGATGGTGGTAATGAATTTATAAATTTCACAAATTTACTGTATACAGCGGCCAAGGTATAAATATCACTACCTAGGTAATCAATATGCATATCAGAATCGGCAATATATAGAGAATCCAATTGTCTCCTAGAATAAATTGCTTCAGGATGCATTTTGAAATCGGGTGATACTGATATATTAAATTTTTCGATCACTTCATCAACATCCCTTATTTGTTTAGTAAATTCCGTTGATTTATTACTTAAAACTTCATCATTCCACATATTTATGGTATCATATATTACTTTAGAATTCGGTCTTCTTTCTGACTGAGCATCCCAGCATTTAACAATCAATTCAGTAATTAACTTTGGTACATGTGTTGGAATACTTGGACGTAAACCACGATAAATTTTACGTGCTAAATGAATGTCATGTGGAACATCATGATATATCAGAACACCTGATAATATTTCATATGCCACGATGCCAAAAGAATATATATCAGATGCAATACTATATTCGTTATTATATAATGCTTCAGGCGCTATATATGGTAAGATATCACACACTTTATTTTTTGCTTCTATATTAGCCAATGTTGAAAGTCCCAAATCTGCAATATATCCACTATGAAAGTCATTTAACAGTATATTTCCAGAATGTAAATCTCGGTGTATAAAATTTAAGGAATGAATTATCTGAAGATCTGAAGCAATACAATTCAATAAGTTTAATTTCTTTTTCCATTCCATTTGTGATACATAATAAAGATTTTCACGTAAGGACCCCAATGTTACATAATCCATAACTAGAATATAATCTTTAGAATCAATATGTTTTAATATACCCATGCATTTTAAAAATGTTGGATATTTAAGACCAATTTCACAATATACCTTCAACTTATAAAAAAATATCAATTTAATAATATAGTGTTGCGCGGCAAATCGGCGAGTCTGTCGCTAATTCTTTCCAATCCTCGTGTAACATACGACGGCTTAGTCGAAATAGGCGTGTTAGATTTGGCTGGGTGGTTTATCCGTAGGTAAGTACTATTCTTCTCTTCTAAGT